TCGATCGCAACGTGAATCTTTATAAATATGGCATGTGGACACGTGGATCAGAATTAAAAAGTTTTGTCTAACGAATCCCTTGAGAGGGGGAGGTAGGTCGAGTTGTGTGCGTGCGTCTTGACGCACCTTTACCGGAAGTGCATCAATATGGCTAGATTGGTCACAATTATGGAGATGTGATTTGTATAACATTACAAACGTACGTTAACAATATACTGTATAAAAAAAATCTAGAATGAGGGGTTAACGGAATTGGGGCAAGTATAATAATAAGTATAATAATAAGTAACATAATAAGTAATAGTAACATAACAGAGAGTATAGAGTAGGGGATTATTTTAAAACATATATATGCATATATCCATATAATTTAAGAGTGCTTATTATGTTTCGTATTCCCTTCAGCTCCGTAGTGTAGCGCAGAGTGGTTCATGTGGGAAATCCGCACAGAATGGTGAAAAAAAAAAACCTTTTGTTCTTAATAGCAAATATTTAGAAAGTAAAAGTAAGTTTAAACAAGCAACAATGAGACTTCATTGCAACTTTTTTCTTGAACGTAACGAATAAACTTATTTTATTTTTATACTTCTACGCTATAATTATCAACCTGTAATTTATTATTAACTAGGTTTAAAGTAACCATGCGATTGTGCTCTGACGGTGGATCATCGCTCCAGTGGTAGTGCAGCGGTGTAGTAGCGTAGTTGTGTAGTGGTGCAGTGGTGCAGCGGTGCAGCGGTGCAGCGGTGCAGTGGTTGCAGTGTAATAATGACTAGCCCAGGCCGCTAATCATTCCTCGGTTTGTTCTGATTGGTCTTGGCGAGATGCTTTGAGTAAAATTCCTTACATAATTAATCGACAGTGCTTCACCTGTATGTTTGGATTGACATCGGCATACTTTAAATTATCAAGAATGCCAAACAAATAACAGGATTAGAGCAAGTAATAGAAAGAAAGATGGTAATGATGTAACAATGGAAATAGGACTTATTGACAATAAAATATTTTAATATGTACAAATTAGTTGTCATTGCTAATATGTATTACAAATTCTTATCGAGGCCCAATGATAGACAGGAAAGCTAACCAAATTCATCAGTTCTGCTCTGTTCATCTTCTCTCTTGTTTCCCGCCTATTTCTTCCATCCTGCAATAAACACAAATGCATGCATCAGATAACTCTATTTTCTCATGGTCGGATGGGATGAGGAAGAGGAAGAAGGGAAAAAAAAAAGGGGGGGTGATGAGTTGATGTGGATAATAGAACGAGTGAGGGAGATTTTGTGGTGAGATATGATACAAACAATACGCTAGCGTAGCACAGCGTTACATTCCCTTTGTTTACTTAATTCATCGCAACAGTCTCACATGTTATCGCTGATAATCAACGTTACGTTCGTTTTTTTTCTCTTGATTTGAGCTGGATAGGATGAGAGCGAAATAATTATTGTGTTGATTATTGTGTTGATTATTGTGTTGATTATTGTGATTGCAACAATACTGCAGAGGCAAACAAAGAAAATTATGAGGGTGGGGAATATGAATTAATTACATTAATATGTGGTTGTATCTCTACTACATCTGTGTATCTTCATATCTGTGTATTAATATGTTTGTGTGTCTGTGTATTATCATATCGTCTATTAATGTGAGTTTCGTTAATGTCTTCCACATATAGCAATAATGGTATTGGATAAGAGTCGAACTATAATGAAATGCAAAATATACATTCATATACACACATTCATCATATACACACATTCATCGTATACACACATTCATGTACATATATGCCGTTTTAACCCAAGGACCGACAATAGTAATGCATGAAAATGAAATCAATAGCGCAATTCAACAAGTTTCTAGATTAGATGGCCCATAACTGGATTTGATATTAATATGAACAAATTAAATGGTACACAAAAAAACAATGGTTACGAAATAAGAAAAATAGAACGAAACATTCACTGTCACAACTCGGTCATCTGTTGCATGCCGGACCGTTCCATTGCATTTTTTTTCTTTCATCGAAATAACTATTTACTAATCCGGTAGTGGAACATTTTGTTTATTGCTATATTGGTCATACTGTGTACGAAACAAGCTGATCGAGCGCATTGTGAATATCAATCTGTGCAATCTGTGCATGACAGTCAAAATGCACACACATCAAAAGCCAATGCCAGCTCATAACTATGGCTAGCACTTTTACAAAGAAATATTTGACAAGTTTTAGCTAAACATTCTTAAATTCGCTTGTAACATGAGCTTATACATTGAGCTTATGCCATATTTGGATCGTCTTCTAGTTTCAACCACGTTCCAAACCTTATCTGGCTGTTGTACAAGTACCATGTCCACGTACCTATCAAATTCGTCATAATTTTATATTAGGTATGCTTTATATATTTTTGTCGACTCGAACTTTTTGTGTTGCTAATATAGGTTTGGTCTTGAAAAAGAAAGATTAAATTTACCCTGACACACAGTTTATTGAATCTGGTAGGCCCTGCTGTTTCCAAGTAGAAGGTGCATCTGTCGAAAATGAGTAAAGATACGGTAAGGATAAGCCTATATTAATGATATGATTAAGGAAAAGGTTTGTATTAGATTGCCACGTGATGTATATTAGAGCGAAAAAAACGAACAACAACGGACAAACAGAGAGGCAGACAACGGGTGACAGATTAGACAATTTAGTAGACAGGTAGATACCCATATTCATACAAGCATTCGTACAAGCATTCATACAAGCATCCAGACAAGCATTCATACAAGCATTCATACAAGCATCCAGACAAGCATATACAAGATTTCGTGCATGGGTGTTTCTACGGGTGCTATACACAAATAGACACACAAAATTTAATGTCAACAACATTAATTTGATGGGTTCGACTTTTTTTTTTTTTTTTCTTTTTTTTCTTTTTTCTTTTTTCTTTTTTCACAATGGATAACAATATAGCAACGAACAGCCTGGGCAAACAAGGGTAAGGTTTACATTGTTTGGCACGCCAATAATACTACTACATTAGAACATAGGAACGTAATTTACGAGTTTTATGAATTGTGACAAACAAGTAATACGATTTTACAAGTATAGTCAATGTGTAAGTGTGTGCAAAACCACTCGCTTCCAATCGCTTCCGCCCCGCCTCGGCTCTAGCTTCCAAAGGGATGATGATGGTGATAAAAAAACCCCCAAGTTTCTTGAAATATTCATAAGGAACGTTTATTCATCATCTATGTACTACATGGCTCGATCAATAGAGCAGTCTTTATACACGATCTCCAGGGACGGCGAATGTGAAACGGTCGAGGTATGGAACTAGGCTTTAAGGTGATAAGAAAACGAGCTGAGGGGAGTATTATTTATCCGGGTTTAACCAACAGTTTATTTAAGGTAATTAAACACGTAGTGATTAGTGATTAATCAACTAGTTATATGGGTGATTTCCTAAAATTTATCCATTATCGCTAAAAAGATGTTCACGAGGGCGATGGATAACTGAGTAAAGGGACCAAAGGGAGGGGAAGCCGAGATAAAGAGGGATGAAGAAACCAAAGGGAAAGGAAAAGGGAATGGGAAAGGGAAAGGAAAAGGAAAAGGGAAAGGGAAAGGGAAAATCGGCGGGAAGAAAAGGTAGGAAGGCATATGTAACATGATTTAAAAATTGCTTCTATTTTTAAACATTAAGATGGCTTCTTTAATTCGGTAATCGGCCAACTCCGTTATTTTTTTAAGGACAACAATTGAACTGGCGATGTTTTGTTAAAGGGATTTATTAAAGTAGTACATTAATTTATACAATTCAACGGCTTCACATCAACAACATCAACGGAACTTCCACCTCCTCCCCTGGGAATCCAATGCCCCTTTTTTGTAATTATGCCTTATTCATCTGTTATTATATGAGAATGGTGTAATATGAGAGAATACGATGCGATACGAGCACGATGCTATACCATACGATACCATACAATACGATACTGCTGCTGCTGCTTGCTGCTACTGCTAATACTACTTACTACCCACCTCTCTCTTACCATGTATGTTACCGATCATGCATTTCGTGTATGTCAAAAGTTTAACACAATATGTGTGATATTAACTATAGTTTGTGATATCTCATCTCTGATCATCTGTTCATGGTACCGTCACATCCTAGGGTATTACGAGCGAATTTGTAATAATCACATTTTAATTTACAATAATATTACTACTGTAAGTTGTGTACTGTATATTCTAAGTTAAACCAACTAGACGTTTTAAAATAAAGTTTTGTATATGAATCACATGACTATCCATGTGTTTAGTCGAGTTACCATGTTCAAATAACTCTCATTTCAACTTTACTTTGTTAGTATAAATTAATACAGCAGAAATTGACCAATCACGGCCTGGTTCGTAAAAATTATTTAGCGTTGGCCCCCCCAACAACTTCCCATTAATTATAAAGTCAAGGAATACATACATTTTATGATCTTTTCCAAAAAAAAAAATATAATCGAGAAGAAAAACTTTTTTTTTCCCCGTCATACTTTGAATATCATCATCTCAACTATATAACCACCCACCGACACAAAATACGCAAAATACGCAAAATACGCAAAATCCGCAAAATCCAAATCATCATTCATACACCAGCACACGCACACCAACACGCACACACACACGCACACACACATCTGCACATTTATTCATTACTCAAAAACTTGCATACAAAGTCTGACTATAATTTCACGAACTTTTGTAATTTGTCGTTTTCTTTTGCAAAGAAGACAGATTAATAACGACTATCGACTAGCATCTTATTAATAAACAACAAATCGCCCCACCCCCCTCCACAAACGATATAAATAGCGTCTCACAGATTTTTTTTAAAATCACCTCACACCCCCACGATCAATAAATAGCATTTACAAATTGTTTTCGTCATAAACAAAAAGACAAAGACTTTACCACATCCTTATCAATATCACAACGTATATATCACAACATGCAACGTCATGCTTTCACTTCTCCCTTTGCTCTTTCACATGAAGTCACTCATGCTCCCGTATCAGCCATAGGTAAGTAGATAGGGCTTGGGTCTGTCATTCGGTCGTTCAGTCGTTTAGCCGTCCGTTTAATCGAAACTCGTACTCGAGGAAACGTTTCGCATCAAAAAAATACGCGTTTTTTCCACTACTAAAGAAGTGATATCAATTTCATTATCTATCCTCCTCCCCTCTCCCTTTTTCCCTCCCTTTTCCCCTCCGTTACACGCGACTACAACTATGACACGGAATAAAAACCTCTTTGGCGTCATGACAAATACAACTCGGTAATTCTATCCACGTCTCTCTCCCGAAACTCTCTTCATCCATCATCAGAGCTTTCCTTTTGTCCACCACAATCTTCTCTGGTTTCCATTCATCAAAGCGCATTCGACGCACACGTCTCACACTCCACATCGACTACTCTTCCCGCTCAATCGGTCCCAAGCCATCCGCTCACCCACCAACAGCCGCTCTCCTCTCCCGTGCAATTATTATCTCCTTCTCCCTCATCCCCATTAAGCTTCCTGGAATATCGTGAGGGAGCTCCATCAGCCGAAGAATTCGATACACCCGAGTTTTTTCAATATAGCAAGGAAAAATACGAATCAGCCAAGTCGGGAGTGAGGAGACGAAAAAGACGAGGTGATAATGATGGAATATTGGTCGACAGCCAGGGTGGCATCATTGGACCAGGAGGCGGCGTTGAAGAAGGTGAAGATGATGAGAATTGTAGGTGAGTTGATTACACGAAATAGAACGCGAATGAGAGAGGTTGGGCGACATGAAGAGTCTGAAGGGAAGAGAAATTAGATCGCGGGCAATCGGTGTATGGAGGAGGGTTGTTGTTGGGATCTTGGGTGTCTCTGGGTGTCAGCGTGAGTGTATTAACGTAATGTATTGGGGTGTCAGTGTATTAATGTATTGGTGTAATGGTGTGTCAGAGTGTCAGAGTGTTAGTGTGTTAGTGTGTTAGTGTGTTAGTATGTTAATGCGTTATAGATAGGTGATAGGTATTAATTAATTGGAGAGTTTCATCTTTTATTTTTCAATCACGTGATATTTATATAACGTATCACAATATTTTATGAAGCCCATCTGATAAACCCGACCCGTTTCTTTTTGTAGTGCCATATCACATGCAGAATTTCGGCGTCAAGTACATATTCAATCTGAACAAAAGCGACGCGCTGAAATCAAGGATGGTTTCGAAGAATTGCGTCGACAACTTCCATTTGCATATAATGGGAGGAAGATGAGCAAAGCCACTTTGTTGCAGAAAAGTAAGCGATATTACTAGTCGTTGGTAGTCGAACAAGGATACGCCAGTATAGACGTCGTTTTTTGAGGGGTCACGTCTCCCTAACTACTGAATACTTGTATTTACATGTTATGTATTTTGACTATTTAGCTGTTAATCACATCAAACAAATGCGATCAAGAGAGAGCTTCCTTCTTGAAGAAATCAATAGACTTAATCAAACTGTATTATACCTCAACACGCAATTGGAAAACGAAAAAAAGTAAGTTCCATGTAATTGCTTGTTGTTTTATTTTTATCTCCTTTCATCTTTTGCACCCCTGGCGTTTTTCTTCTCTCCCCAAATTCTCTACATCATCCCTCTTACATTTATCCTTTTGTCTCTTTTTGTTTACCATCCCCCAACCATATTCGTATTATTTCAAGCCTAATAAAATCAATCCTATAACTCCTCTATTCTATTCATTACGACATCTATTGGTTATATAATTTAATAGTATCAGCTATTCAGACACGATACTAAATACGTCGTTACTCATTCGAATAATCCAATAATGCAAATTGTCTCTGACATGCTTCATGATATTTAACAGGATGGGGCAAATCTATCGTCAGAGACAGACTCTTGACAAAATTTACGCTCTCGGATTGTGAGAAACAGAGAAGCGATTATTCCTGTCGAACGTGTAAAACGATCAAAGTAGAAATACTTTGAGCATTCAATCAGCCAGCAATAGGAGAGAGAGATAGATTGTTATTGATTGGCGAGTAAGTAAGACAGAGAAATAAATACTTTGAATATATATATAAGACACATCGATTTCCGCTATGTCGATTTTAATTTTGATTTAATTATTATATATAATCTTTCAACTTTTGATTCAGTCAATATCCTACGATCATTCCTATAATGGTTTATGCATTATGCCAATTGGCTGGTTTGCGTGAATGCTATTACTGTAGTAAAAAGCTTGTTTAGTTTGTGTGGATGGTAGTGATATGGTGGGAGAGGTAGAAGGAGAGAGAGAGCAAGAGGGGTGAATATTGTATAGTTATATAAGCATCTATTTTCTTTGCATTACATAAAATTCATCAAAAAAATGTATTTATCTATACACACACTTGGAGTTTTGCGTTCTTTATTTGTTTACACCTACGATTGAACGCTAAAGGTGTTATACACACACTTGGAGTATGACTGCCATAATAAGAATTGGATTGACGCATGTAAAGTGTATCAGATATCATTATTTAATAGCCTGTACCACTGTAATTATGGACTGTCCAACCAATCATGTTTCTTCAGTCTCGCTGAAATCCGTGATACATTCTGTATTGCGTCATGCAAATTGTAACATTATATCAAGCACTAGCCATCCTCGTTATTATTACCTCATCGTTTCTTAACTCTCTTTATATATAGTATTCAAAAATGAATCCTTTGTTTCCAACTCAAAACCCGTTACCCACGTCAGCTGCTGCGACTGCTTTCGCCATGGACCCTTACTCGTGGGATCTTACTTCTCTCGAAGACAACATTGAAGCACAGAAACTACTTGCTGCAGCGATAGCTTCTAATGATCGTTACAGATATGAGGAAGACGCAAAGAGGAAATTAGACCTGTTGGAAGACTTTATTCAACAGACTCCAACCAAAGCAAGTCGTAAGTAAGACTGAAAGAGTCGTTGGGAGTGCCAAGTCAGTGCACAAAAGTGATGCCAAAACATGGTCTTACGAATGCTTGGGTGTGGCTTGAGAATCTCTAACCCATGACTGACATTTGACTGTACACCTATCATTGCAGATAATCTAAACGTTTCGTCTGTTCCTCATCCGGATCTCTCTACTCAAGGTTAGCAAACTTGTATGGATAAAGGGGAAGGGGGGGGGGGGGTGGAGAGTTGAAAAGAGACTAACGTGGGAGAGAATCACACACGGTTATATACATAAAGTCAATCATACATCATGAACGTCACTTTACAAATTATTTGTCGTAAGAATGTGAAAATATTAATATTTTTATTTGGTTTATTAGACCCGGGAGAGTTGAGCAATTCACCAACACTGTCAGAACATTCGTCTGAGCCACAGAAGAAAAAGCCCGGAAGGAAACCACTTACAAATACTCCAAGCTCTGTACGTTTTCAATATTGTTTTGTAATGATGCTGGTCTTTGCACACATATCTTTCAGTATTACGGATAACAACACAAAACAACTAATATAAACGATTATTGATGCTATTTCACGACCTCTATTATTCTTCAACTATATTCATTGACATTAGAAACGCAAGGCGCAAAACAGAGCTGCACAGCGAGCGTTCCGTGAACGAAAAGAACGCTATGTCAAAGAGCTCGAAAATAAAATCAAAGCATTAGAATCACAATCTGCCAAGAGCGTTCAAGAGAATGAAAAACTCAAGGCGCTAGTAGAACAGTTACGAGAAGAGAACAGTTTACTCAAACAGTCCAACTTTTCATTTGATTTTACCGTCTCCAGCGCGTCTAGAAGTACTGCCGATATAGACAAGAAGATTAGCGATTTTGTTGGACAGCCACCCAGAGTCTCGACTACAGTTGGTCAACCAGACGTGTGCACACCTCCATCATCGCAGAATAGTGACGAAGAGGCAAGTACGCCTGCAAGCAGCGTGGGACAGGCAGGCAACTTGCAACCGATCGAAGCGGGAACTCCTTTTAGCAATTTTTCCAATTCTCCTCAGATATCGACGTATGACTTTGTCATTGTCGACGATGATATGTCAGCTTCAGAAGTTGCGCCGCTGCCCAAGCCAACTAAACAGTCGTCCGCTAAGCCACAGTCTGCAAAGGAATTTTGCCAGAAATTCACTAATGGAGTATGCCCAGATGACTTGGATGACGATAACGAAACGTCCGATTCACACAAGAGGTCGTCTTCCGGTGCATTCACACAATATAGAGATCCGACGCCGTTCACCGTCAGTATTGATGCTCCATTTTCAAACGCAGAACCGTTGGGTCCATTATTTGAAGAGAACTTTGAAGAGTTTGGATCATATGCTCCGATGGCAGACTCAGCAACGCCAACGTCAGACATAAGGGATGCGCTTTTTACTGCCCTGAGTAATCATGGGAACGGCTTTGCATCATTAGAGGATATACGGGATAAGAAATATTTATCGTGTAATAAAGTGTGGGAGAGAATTCAACAACACCCAAAGTTTGACGACTTGGAAGATGACGAGATGGATCAATTGTGCAATGAACTTAAAGCTAAAGCAAGATGTTCTGGACATGGCCCAGTAGTAGCCGAAGAAGAGGTGGATGCTGCGCTGGTAAAGTTGTCAGATTGAGGTATGCTATCTGTCTTTGTAGCAAATTCGAATATTACCCTTGTCAAACGAATATTCGATCTAATTTCTTTGTCTTTTTTAAAGACAGGTACATGATGATTACCTATACAAATATTAAATCTATAGCTGTAATAATATCGCCGCATTTATTTTGTAGCACCGAACGAATCGAAACTGACTTGTAAGTATTATTCATTAATTGAAATAGGACTCGGATTTATGTCAACTAGTGCTGTGACTGCAATTGTGCATGGCCATGCATTTTTACAAGAATGAGCTTGAAGCTTAATAGGCGCATCTCTCTCTCTCTTTTTTTTAAAATAGTCGGTTGGAATGAAGAACGATTCATTCTTTCTTGTTCACAAGGAAACATTCTTGATTCACTGTTTATTCCATATTCCATATTCCATTTATGTAAATAATCTTACTCTTTGCGCACCTTGACAAGGGATTCGAGCCGGGGAATTGATTGGACTCTTTGTTTCCAAATTTACGTTCTGGATAACAAAGCGTATTACACAATGACCTAATTATTATCTTAATTTTGTGTGGTGAATGATGGTGTTGTTGTTGTAATAGATTAAATGAAATTCGGAGTTTTTTCTTTTTTCTTTCCTTACCTTTTTACTTTTTATTGGGAACAATTAAACCTGTATAAATTTTCAGCATCATAAATAAATTTAAGCAAAGTTTTCGGACTTTGATGGACACGTGACGCAGCAACTTTAAATTCGGCGCGGGCGAGCAATTAATACATTTATTTATTGGCCTTTTTAATCAGTTCTAAAATAGATGATAATTTGAGACCAGAATGCAAATATTGGATGAAACGTGAATGAAATAATCAGTGTTCGCGTTACTTTTCAGTAATATGTGTTTCTCTGTGTGTAAGCATAAACCGCATATAATAATAAGGTAATCTATGCTTCCAGTATACTTCACATTGCACCGCACCGAATCCTAGTCAAAGTCAAAACTTTCCACATTTTCTCGTCAATTAGCTTTTAATTAAAAAAATGCAAACCAGAAAGCGTGTCACCACTGCAATATTTTCCTTTGACTACAAATAAAGACACCAAATGTGCAAGTTTTTTCCTGGAGAAAAGACCGATTCTGCGAACATGCATCATCAAGTAAAATCCCATAAGGTATCTCAAGATCCAGAGTCGTAAACTTTGTCAAAAGCCTGTATCTGACGATAGATTTGGCCCATCCTATATGTTACCGTGAAACGGTGTCAGCGAATTGTTAGATCATTCGAAGAAATGAAAAGATGTAATCATGGTTCTACTGTTAAATACTCAACAATAAAGTTGGGATTTTATTGGGTATCAATCAATGGTGGATATAGAGAAAAGATAGGGTAATGAGATGAAGGGGATAGGGAATAAACGGAGGGAAGCTACAGGAGAGTTGCAAAATATGCAAGAGAGGCATCAAGCAGTAGACAATATTATGGACATACTTTTTCTCGTTTTCCAATTGAGTGTTGAGGTATAATACAATTCTGTTAAGCCTATTGATTTCCTCGAGAAGAAAATTCTCCCTTGATCGCAGTTTTTTAACATGATGAGCGGCTAAATTGTCGACGAATAGATACGGAGCCAGATGAATATCGTAAAGCCGACAATAACATCAAGGTAGTAACCATCAAGTATATCAATATACAGATATTATATGTTTGCACTAAATCAACACTTACTTTTTTGCAGCAAGGTGGCCTTGCTCATTATCCTTCCATTATGACTACATGCAAATGGAAGTTGTCGACGTAATTCTTCAAAGCCGTCTTTGATTTCAGCAGCGTGTCTTTGCGGAACATGAAGTTGACGACGACGGGCGTCTGCGTGTGACATGATACTGGGAATATTAGAATGAATTCTCGATAAATAAATCTTGGAGGGAGTAAATCGTCACTTACACGTAAATTTATGCCAATGATGTGATATCATGTGACAGCAACCACTGTAGAACACTGGTAAATGTAAAAATAAAAAAAAAAAAACTTTGATTTTAAATTAGATTGTTCATCCTCATAAACGAGTTGGTGATAATTATATATTTACAGTAGGATGCAAAAGTATTCCCCCACTTCTACTTCGGGACACGAATGAGTAAATGCTTTGAAAGTTTCCCTGTATATAGTGTATAATAAACCCTATCACTTGTAAAATTTCAGCTTGATCGGATGTCTCCAGCAAAATTTCTAAACACCAAAGTTTTACCGTGACATATTTTGGGGATTTAGTCACAAGAGTTCAAAAAATTATATCACTTCTCTAACCAAATTTTGTGAATTTTTTTCTTTTAATTTGTTCCTCTGCACCATCGAATTGCATTCGTGTAATTTTAGAACAAGTTACTGTGTGATCTCTACTACAAAATACAAACAATTGTGCGGCATAATGATACTTATAAAGATCGTTCACGTGTCTTGCCAAGTATAATAGCGATTTCGACTACCACATCTAAAGAAATACGTAGGAATTGGTTTGATAAACAAAAAAAAAAAAAGAACCCGCAAATCAGTGGAGATATGGATTTTTGAAGTATAAATTGAAATAAGCGATGTAGGGTTTTTATATAGTTTTATATGTTTTTCATATGTTTTAGAGGCAAATATTGGATGTTTGTAAATTTTTACTGGAGACATCCGATCAAGCTGAAATTTTACAAGTGATAGGGTTTATTATACACTATATACAGAGAAACTTTCAAAGCATTTACTCATTCGTGTCCCGAAGTAGAAGTGGGGGAATACTTTTGCATCCTACTGCGGTGCGCATTTGCGGATTGACTTGTGAGAAAACCTACTTTTTGGTGAAATCTCTTTGCTGAAGGGGAATATTTCAAATTAACTCAAAGCGCGTCAAATAAGATTGACTGACATAGTAGCGGCTCTCGTATACTTCGGTATCGCAGACTCCAAACTAATTTATTAGTAATAAACATATTATTTGTTTCTTGGTCTCGTAAAAACGACTGCTGGCCTATAGAATTATGCCACGTGACACTTCATGAAAGTAAGTCCATAATATAAATTTAGTTACTCTTCGTTATTTGAGACAAGTCATTGGTTTAATCAATTATTATTCGCCCAATTTGGATCTAAACTAAGTCGCAAAACATTCAAAACAAATGTAAAGTTTTGTTTTATATATATAATAAAATTTTATTTTGACATTGTTATTTAATTTCTTTTCTTAAAAAGTTTTCTATTGAAATCAAAGTGTTCTCCGTCAAACCCATTACACTTGTGGAACAATGGTGTCATATCCGCACATTCCCACTAACACATCATTCTCGGCAATCTATTACGACATCAAAAAATTAAACTGGAGACGTCTTACATAATAATAAGGAAAGTAATGGCCGAGCCAAAAATTTTATGTAGCGCAGCACAAGCATTTGTCATTTCTTAATAATAATGTGTCAAACTTAATAGACTGATCATCCAACAGTCCGAATTTAAATTTAATTAGAATCTAGTCAGATAAATGAGGGGGGAAAATCGTGGCAATTATAAGACTAGATGGCATAGAAATTCTCGATACAATTCTAATTAATTTAGTTAGCTATGAAAACGCGCCGCGAACTTTTCATTAAAAATCAAATAATCTAGAAGGCCCGACGTTTAAATAAGCTAGTTTTACATTTATTTATTTTCATTTACTGATTGTTCACTAACTTGCATCAGTTTTGTTGTTACATCTGTATCTCTGTTCAGCATTCAAGTACGTTACTAACCGTTCGCTGTAATAAATACTAGTCTCTAGCATTTTATTCTGAATTGACGGAAAGGCCGTTTTCCTTTGAACGAATAATAATTTAACATTACCTTCATAAAGGAATAATAAAAAAGTAATAATGCACAATTGTCTTTGACAGTGAGTACGGGAATTAATGCCGTGTGCTAAATCATAATTGCATTATGTAAAGTATTAAAGTCGTAATGTTATAGTCGAAGTGAAGTTTGAATAAAAATTAAATTATGGATAAAATATTCTTTCAACGATTGGATTTAGCAATAATATTGTAATAATGGCGTTCACTTAATGCTTTGTTTAGGTTAATTAATTTTACGATATGTCTTCAAATTTATTTATCATATTATTTATTAGTACAGCGGCGGAAATTAACAAAATCAGACGTATAGATTTTAGAATAGTTATTCCGCAATAGAAATTTAGATATATTGTATAAATGACCGAAGTTAATACCATTTTATGCAAAGGATTTGGTCAAGGGCTCTAACGGAATGCCGGAATAAATTTTATGGTGGTGGAATAATACCTACACAATCGAATGAATATGATGGAAAATAACCAATAAACTTATTATTGTAAATACTTCAATCGGCGCTCACTATGATCTCTAATGTCTTCGTTAATGCCAGTTATTCAGCCTTATAATCTCTAGCATTTAGCATATGCTGAACTTGATCAAGTTGCCGCTTAATTGGTTATCCAAACAATCTTTGATAAAAATTTCTGCAACATTCTTAATACATAAGTCGGTCATGCATGGCTGGGCATGGTAGACCGAACCGACTTATCGAAACCATGTGACCAATATGCTAAATTTTTATTTAAATAATATTAATAGGACAATATTGATATAGGATAATGTAGAATATTATTCATGCTAGTTTGCGTTGAAGTCATTGTCATTTTGTTAATTTTCCATTTTAAATTTCTTAATCCTGAGACGAATTAACTGTCTATTTTATATCACTATTCTGTCGCAAGTAATTGTGTAAATTTTGAATACTTTCTAAGGCGATTTCATCTTCTCCTTTATTCTCAGGCGCTTCTTGGACGGCAGTAGGAATTTCATCATCATCGAGCATATCGCTTGTTCCTAAAGTATTATCAATTTCAATATAATCTTCTGCTCTTACGACGGCTTCATCAACGATCATTGATCAACAAACAACTGACCGATTTTGTCTTCTATCTCAATTTCGTGGTTCATTCGACCAACTCATCAGTAGAATGCCAGTTTGTTCTCAGCATCTGTATAATACATCTTCGGTCACATTCTTCCATGATTCTGCAACCCAATCAAGATATTTATATTCCTGAAATTGATCAAATGCATCTATTCTATTTTTACACAAATATTTTCTATAATCTATTGATTGAAGGTGAGCAGTATTGTTGGGTGGAAGAAAGTGCAATATAATGTTGCTTGATACTTTGCCGTCTTCTAATTTATGGGAAAAAACGTTATCTGCTAATAGCAAAATATTTTTCGCATCAGTTCGTTAACGCGTTTAATTCACGATTAGAATATCGGTTGTTGCATCCAAGATGCATTATTCCAATAATAATCATACTGATAGCGTGTTTTTACCAGCATTACGAATAGACTTTGGATTTTTATATCGATGAATGAAAACAGCTGGCAATTTGTGAGAGCCGGTTACATTGCGTGCAAGCATTACCGTGACTCTGTCTTTAGGCTTTTTTATATCAATAGAGGACCACTGGAAGGAGATGTGTATTACGATTACAACTGACAATAACAACACCGCTTGTACATAGTTTTTGGTTAAAATATTGTCGTGCCAGCTGAAAATCAATCAGCTATTTAGCTCTATACTCGGCCTTTTACTGAGAAAATTTCTCGCAACCGTTACTAGGGTTTGCTGACTCATGTGGTTAATACAATAGTCTTGGACATGGTAAGAATTGGTGTCTCCTATTACTCGTGACTCTTAGGGTAATAGCAAGTAATAAATATACCTTAATTCTTAGCTGTATTCACAATTGTAGGCAAGTTGATTGTTAACCACCAACAAAGGAATTACTGATTTTTTAATATACATCCAGCATGCTGAAAAGTTTTGTATGTGGCCTTTAACCTCAACATAATTAATTTTTATTAATTCTAGTTTGACACACAAAAAAAAAATTAATATGAGTAACTGACAATTTGTTAAACGACAATTCTAAGATCTATGATGTCCTAATACTAGTACTAGTTACTCTTTTTTGAAAGTGAATTGAACAGATTTTTAACAGTATTCCTTACACTCTTTCTCTTATTATAGTCTTCAAGATAATTCTGTGCAGCAATGTAACCTTGATCAGCTGCTTTTTGATATAATTCAAGTGCTAATTGAATGTTCTTTTTTACACCCTTTCCATTCAAATAGCAGCAACCAAGATTATATTGTGCAGCAGCATATCCTTGTTCAGCTGCTTTTTCATATTGTTTGACAGCCCTTCTAAGGTTTTTTTCTGTTCCAATTCCATCTTCACAGCAATGACCAAGACTACATTGTGCACCAGCATGCCCTTTTCTAGCTGCTTTGTCAAATAATTCAATTGCCTTTTTCATATCTTTTTTTACACCTATTTCATCTTCATAACAATAACCAAGACTATATTGTGCAGCAGCATACTCTTGCTCAGCAGCTTTCTGATACAATTTAATAGCCTCCTGAACATTTTTTTCTACTACAATTCCATCTTTATAACAACAACCAAGACTATGCTGTGCAGGGGCAAAGTTTTGTTCAGCCGCCTTTTGATACAATTCAACTGCCTTTTCAATATTTTTTTCTATCCCAACTCCATCTTCATAACAGCAACCAAGACTGTATTGTGCAGGTGCATGTCCTTGTGAAACTGCTTCATTATACAATTCAATTGCTCTTTTAACATCTTTTTCTATAATACCAATTCCATGCTTGTAACAATAACCAAGATTATTTTGTGCAGCAGCACATCCTTGATCAGCAGCCTTCTGATACAATTTAATTGCTTCCTGAATGTCTTTTTCTACTCCAATTCCATTCATATAGCAATAACCAAGATAATTCTGTGCTGCTATGCAATTTTGTTTAACTGCTTCTTCATATAATTTGACTGCCTTTTCAATATCCTTTACCATGCCAACACCATATTGGCAGCAATAACCAAGACTGCATTGTGCAGTAGCATATCCTTGATCAACTGCTTTTTGATAAAATTCAATTGCTTTCTGGACATCTTTCTCTGTTCCAATACCATCTTTATAACAACTACCAAGATTATTTTGGGCAGCAGCATATCCTTGGTCAGCAGCTTTCCAATACAGTTTAACTGCCTCCTTAACATTTTTTTCTACTCCAATTCCATTTTCATAACAACAGGCAAGATTATTTTGTGCAATAACATAGTTTTGTTCTGCTGCTTTTTTATATAATTCAATAGCTTTCTTATCATCCTTTTCCACTCCAACACCATATTGGTGGCAGTAACCAAGATTACATTGTGCAGTAGCATATCCTTGCTCAGCAGCTTCATGATATAGTTCAACTGCCTTCTGAACGTCTTTGTTCATTCCAATTCCATTCATATAGCAACTACCAAGATTATTTTGTGCAACAGCATATCCTTGGTCAGCTGCTTTCCTATACAGTTTAACTGCCTCCTTAATATCTTTTTCTACTCCAATTCCATTTTCATAACAATGAGCAAGATTATTTTGTGCAGTAGCATAGTTTTGTTCTGCTGATTGCTGATACCAATTGATTGCTTGATCAAGATTTTTTTCAATTATTATTCCATATGCATTAAAGAGACCCATTAACCAATTGCATCGTCCACAACTTGTATGCTGACTGAGTTTTGCAACTGAAGGATATTGATAACATTTATTGTGTATTAGCCACTTTTTAATTAAGTCAGCTATCTGTTCATAACTTGTGCCTTTCAATAATTCTCTATGATATAGACTTGACAAATTATCAGCAAATGGATGCTCTGATGTTATTATTGGTTGTTTGTGGATGCCATCTAGTCTGTTGACAATCTGTTCACTTGATGGCCTTTTCTCAGGATTATCATCCCAGCATTCTGAATACAATTTAATATATCCTTCTGGAGTTCCCTCAACTGGAGGATCTCGACAACCATTTATTCTATAACTTATGATGTCATGCTTGTCTCGGAGCCCGTCACATGGAGGTTTTCCACTAGAAATTTCCCACAATATCACTCCAAAGCTGAATATATCGGACTTCACATCACGCTTAGTATTTTTGCCAGATATACATACAAGATCAAGATATGCAAAAGTTCCTTTGACATCTGATTGACTTTTTTGTTCTATGATCCAGTCGGACAACCCAAAGTCCGTTATCTTAGCCACACCGACATGAATCAATACATTATGAGAAGTCTAAATAATTAATAAAAGATCAATATAGGGGAATATAACCAATATTGGACTTTGTATGTGTATGCTATAATTACCAGATCCTTATGTATAATACCCTTCGAATGAAGATACCGTAGTCCACTGATGATATCCAAACCCAGTTTGCATCTAGTAGGCCAATCCAACTCGGCCGATTTGTTTGATAAAAAAGACCGTAATGAACCACTGTCAGCATAGTCGAAGACCATTATGTGTCTGTCCTGCTTATCTGCAAGGAATTGTTAATGCCATATTCACGATTATGCATAAATCACCTCGATGCTTACCCTTGCTCACTCCAAAAATTTGAATTATGTTACGATGGTCACCAACCATGCAATGAATTCTAAGCTAAATATTAACATCATGGTTAAGTAATAATATCCCACATATAAGACGGTCATTTGATTAACCAACCTCCTTGACAAAACTTGTGAACGCCTCATCTTCATTTTCTGGGATGAGAAACTTGTATGCAACCACTCTATCAAGTGTCTTTAATTTTGCCTTCGTAACTATTCCGAATCCTCCCTTACCAATGACTGTTGAATCGGTGAAGTCATCAAAGGGATAGAATCGAACACTACTTAACACTTCCTCATCAGACATTTTGTCCACGTTGGTTGCCATTGTTATCATTGTTCTTTCTATTACAGTATTAATCGATTCTTAGCTGTAAAGCCGTGATGTAGCAACAGTATGTGCTACACATCATCATCGTCACTACTTCTTTTGTAGCTTCCGATACAATGAATGTGACACGAGCCATCATTGGAGCCTTATATTAAATGACTATTAAAGAAGACTAGGTTGCTAACAGCTGCCATTTTAACGTCAAACTAGCACGACTAGCAATGACCGCACTCTACCAGATAGTCTTGGTTATTAATATTAAAGAGTGAAAGTTTCTTCGATTCTCTGTTGATCATTACGATATATTAACACCATAGTGGGGCACGTTCACATGATTATATTGTTTAATATATTATTGTTTCATCACATTTACGGATATAAATATGTACACAATATAAAATTAGATAAAGATTTTCTACATTATTATTTTATATGCCCAAATGTATCTTGATGCGGCCAGTGCTGCTATTCATCATTGTTGGAATCAAGGAAGGTTTCTTGTTGCTACTGTGGCGAATGGTTGCCTTTTTTTTAAAGCCATTCTGTTGTAATGACTTTATTTGTTGATTTTCTTTCTTATTCCCTTCTGCAAGAACAAAATTAATTTGGTAAGTAACATCATCTTTAAATGCAACATTCAAGGCTTCACTGACCGAGGAATGCAGCAATTTCTTTACTAGTTAATCCAGCAGCAGATCCAAGGTCCTTCACTGTCTGTCCTAAATTGTCACAAATCTCAGACTTTGCTCCTGCATCGATTAGCGTGTTACAAATCCTTTGATGATGATTGCGTATGGCTTCATGTAGTGGTGTCCTATATTTATAGTACAATTAATTATCGGAAGAATGACTATAAAAGAACCAGATTGCAGCTAGATCCTGAGATTTCTATTGGTTGTTATGCTGATTACCGTCTCTCACATGAGAGGGGGCACACTTAATTAGGATCTATTTCCTTTCGAGAATGTTTTCATATTGACCACTTACCGGCCATTTATGTTCTTTGCATTGACATCAGATCCTAATTGAAGTAAGACTATAACCATTTCCAAATATCCTTTGCATGCCGCATGATGTAATGGAGTGTTCCCTCTATATCAAGTGAAATAATGTAAATATGTCTTGGATCAACCATAATAGGTGCATGTAAATTAAGATAGATACCGTAAGTCTTTTTGGTTTACATTAGCCCCAGCACGAACTAATTCCAGTGTCAGCATCACGTCGCTCTGAACAAACAAACACGATGTGCTGCTAGCAGTCGCAGACGCATCCATTCTGCACGATCAGCCATGTGCAACAATAAAGCAAATATATTAATGAATGACGTGAAGACCCCACACACGCACTCTTGCAGGTGCACGTTCCCAATATATCGCCCATTCATGAATTATGCACATGTTACTATATGATTGTACACACCTGGACAATAACAGTCGGCATACATTAATATTGCCCGTTGCTGCGGCGACGTCAATGGGATAGACCCACCTCACATGGTCTGTCTCGCCATTTACTGCTGTTTGTTGAACGGACAGTTTGCTCTCAATGCCATCTATGACATCTTCTGTACACAAGCTCCGCGATTTCCTTCTCTTACGAGAGTTCAACAATCTAAGTGTCAGAAATTGTTCTAATGGAATTCCTTGAGCTGGATCTGCTCCGTTATCGAGCAGCGTCCTCACAAGCAAGAACTGGCCAGAGGACATTTTTGAGCTAGCGGACGAGTGCCTATCCGTTGTCTCTTCCACAGATGTTTGAGCCAATGCTATAATCAGTGGTGATAATCCGTACCATGTCTGATTCATATTGGCTTTCTATGGAATACATATATGAAACACATTTACATTAACAAATTGATTGGTCTGCATGTAATATGTACAAAAGGAATATCACTCACTCGGATCATGGCTTTTGCCAGGTTATGCAGGCCAAGGGCAACCGCCAGAATAAAGTAACTCGGAAATTTGAATTCAAATGCATTATTCTCATTTGCCGGTTTCACAAATATTTCTCTATTTATGTTAGTTGGAATGCCTCGCTCATACATGGCCATTGCAACATCTTCGAGACGATGTGCCATCGCCATTAAAAAAATGTTATTGGCCTCGGATGGCCGTTTCTTTTTCATGGTACTTCCGGATATGTAAGACAGAATACGAATCGCTTCTGATACCTTGTGATCTCGGATAGCAAGTGCCAGGTTCTTCAAAAGGACTGAAAAAACAAACAAGCAAAAAACTCAGCATCGAAGCAAAGGACGGAGAGGGCAGTCAGCTACCACCAGCTATATTCAAACCTGATGGAGTTCTCGACTTTGCTTTCTTCATGGCTAAAAATTTAAACGCCGATGTGCTGGGTGGACTCCTTCGCACTATAGCCAAGTTTTTGGATACCATGTGATCCATCTCTTTTGTTAATTTGCGTTCTAAAGTCACATACATCAGTATCGACAAGTAAAAGCAGTGATCGTTTGTTACAATTTAACAATTGAAGCGTACCTTTCTTTCCTTTTAGATTTGATTTTTCGAGATTTTTTACAATACCTATTTGTCTCAGTTTGTTCTCCTGTTTCTGTAAGGTAGTTAATATGGTTATCTGATATCGAGGGTATTCATCGTTCTTCCTGAATTCGGCAAAAGTAACGTACGATAGCCCTGGCTTGCTCCTCACAAAAATGTCCATAACTGGAGGAAGACTATTCTTACGACCCGTATTGACGGTGTATGCTTTATTTACATTGGTAGCAGAAATTGCTGATAGTCGTTTTGATTTGCGGGACATATGAAAAAATAAACTACTGGAGGATAAGTGAGCGTCAGAGTCTGTCGTGATCTCAAAAGTGGGTAGTGACGTGAGTGGTGGAGTATTGAGCAGGGGAGGTGATGACGGAGCAGCAGGAATGAGTTTGGGCGAAGGTGGAGTAGAAGTCTTTTTATTTGGCTTATGTAAAGAAAATTTGCTAAAGGCCAAAGCAACTCCGGGTATTCTACCTCTAGCTGAATTAGTGATGGAATGAGCGATATATAATAAGCCATAGTGAGTATGAAGAAGTCCCCGAAGTTCTGAATCACCTTCACAATTTACGTTTGAAGCGAGCTAAACGTATATACTTTTGGATTTGGTTTACCTTTACTATTATCTTTCATATCAGCGAAATAAGTGAATGTGGATTATAAGTAAAGATAGTGGGAGGAGTGAAAAGATCTGCTCTGTTTCTCCAAAAGATGACTACTGTGCAGAGATGACAGAACTTGAAATGCATAAGAGCTCAAGAATGTTTGGACATCTAGTCGTTTTATCTATCCTATAAATGTAAAAAGGATAAAAATAAAATATCCGGGGCGTATTTATACAAATATTATTACAATATATTAATATAGGTTCCCTCCCTGTAACTCAAAATGGTAATCATCATTTCTTCCCTCGTCCGACAATAGCATGTCTTCCCTGGCCCAAACAGCACAAATCAGCGAGAAGTCAAGATTACAACCTGATCCCCGTTCACGAGTGTCAACCACGCAGTTGTTAACACCTCAGAATGTGTCTGCCAAAGCAGAACCTTCAACATCTTCGAAAAAGAAGAATAAAAAACCGGGTGAGCAGAAGAGAACAGGGTATGGTGCATGGGTACCCGGGAGCGCGAGTATAGTTCGATGCGAATAACCATGGTTTGAATATGCGGGGGTCTCTGCGTATGAGAGGGATTGGTTTAGTTTCTCGTCTTGTTTTATGTTTAATTGTTTTAGCCATTTATCGTAACATATTCGTAACATATTACTAAGCTGATTCAACATTCGTATTTTGCAGTCTATTCACAGCCAGCTGATACAGGCACGGTGAAGCATACGCTTAGTCAACTTCATAAAGTCATTAACTTTTTGAAGGTGAATACTAGTTAATATTTGCTGCATGGAGGTCATATGTACCTTTTTGTAGAGTTGCAAGTATTAGTATTTATTTTTGTAACAGTGATTTATATTGCGAGTAAGAAGCCGCTTGTATCTGTTGTTCTGTTTGTTGTAATAGGGTTTTTCTTTGTTAATGGTTTTTTGCCTTCGTTATTATGTCTAGGAAAGGGTTGATTCTCCCCAGTCGGCGGAGGATCTAAAGAGTCATCAAATAGCGGACATAACTACTAATGACGAGCTATATAAACTCATGATTAATAATGAAAAGATTGAATACGATGCTGCAAATGGTACCTTTAAATACAAAGTAAGTTTTTTATAGTAACATCAATTATTAGTTTACATATTGTGATACTGTTGCTAATTGTCATAATTTCTTCGTCTTTAATTAGCCAGAGTTTATGATACGTAGCAGTGAAGATTTACTTCAACTACTGTATGAGAGAAAAGATTCCAAGCCATGTGGGATGCACTTTAAAGACCTTGCTGACTCTTACGTAGACGTGACGACCTCAATTCAAGTAAGAACAGTGAGACATGATATTAATAATCATTAGAAAAGCTGGTGTTGGTATCGTGTTGGGAGTTATATTGACCGTGATATAATATCGGTATTGGCTACAAGTTTCATATATGCGTATTGAGGTTGGCATGAATGCTGCGTGTAACAATATCAATTAATATTGTTATTAGGAATTGGAAAAGGAGAGTCGAATCTTAGTCATTCGTTTGATGAAAGATAACTCTCCTCGTTTGATGTTTTGGAATGATGTAGGCGAGAATACTACTATGGATAAAGGTATATTATTCTGACATATTATGTGGACATATGACCTAAGGCATGAGTCTACAACAAAGAATGTTTATATATACACGTATCCTAATTCTTTGTTGCCATGTTTGTAGAATTTGTTGATATGTTCCATAAAGTAAAAACTCCCGATGATGTAGATCTCAAAGTAGAGCTTCAGAAAGGTAATAGTCGATCATACTACAGCCATTGTATTGTTGTCATATGCAATACTGACTACGAATCGTTCTTCAACAGCCGGTCTTCAGACGATGGCTATATTAGAAAATAAGGCAACTGGCGAGGTAATTAGACGATAATGATCATTCACAATAATATTTGGTATTATAGAGTGCAGCTAATATAACGTCTCAAGCTTCAGGCGATACTAATATCACTTTCATATTCTTATTTAGATAAAACCTAAACAAAGAAAAAGGAAACAAGGAAACAGAAAAATCAAGATAACAAACACTCATTTAGATCTCGACCTTACTAAAGATTATACACCGATGAGATCGTAGAGAGCGATTGGAGACATTCTCGTTAACGTGCTAAAAGTGGTTATATATTATCCTGCTGTTGCGAACGCTATTGTGATACATAGAGTCCAATAAATCGGATACTCAAGTTTCTTTCCAAATTTCAGAATTATTTGACACATATACTGTATGACTTGGGGAATGCTGACAAAGTGAATGGCATATCACAAAAATTTCAGGATTCAATTTATCTATCATTTGTTTGTCCACGAAGTAATAAGAATGAGTTACATATGAACAAAGGTGTGCACACTGCCATACAACTTTAAACATAGTCTGTGAGAGAGCAAGAAGTTGATGAGCTAATGGAGTTGAATCATTACAATGAAACAAACGATAAAACTTGTTAAGTGTACGAGTTTGGTTGATGCCAGAAATTTATATATCGAACATTACACAAGCTTTTATTTGATCGATATAACAACTTCTATGCCCTTTGGGCACATGGTTTAGATAAAATGATATTTGCAGATAGACAGCTTGGATCTGCTTAAATGTCATAATGCTATTCTGTAAACTGCGTTCAAACAAATATATGGATAGTCCTAAACTAAGTTGCCGCGTGTTGTGAACTGGATATCGGATATGTTGAATAGCGAGAAAGTGGTTTATAATGACACTTGTGCGATTTTCTGTTCACTCCCATATTTCATTCTACACTCAATTTTGAAAGAATATTTCGAACATCATTACAAACGATCAACGTCAAAGATCTGCTATGCACCAAACTTTCAAATAATTTGCTATTTGGTCTGCACATTCGTTAAACTTCTTGATCGCATCTTTAGTAAAAAATACCACATGCCAACCGAACGTCCCAAAGTTAATTCATGTAATATAAATATAACAATATGAGGCTTTATTGTTTACAACGTGGTGTTTCTCTTTGTGGCTTCAGCGACAATAACATCACTGTCTAATTCACTAGCTTGATCAAATAATGAAAATAATCCCTCCGGGAGTCCAGCTGTCAAATTAGCGATACGATCATGAAACACTTCCAAAGGAGTCTTTAGTTGTTCAGAGGCAGGCTTATCCGAACCAGAGGTAGGCTTGTCAGAATCAGAAGTAGATTTAGAAAGCGATTCACCGGAGCCAGAACTACTCAAATCAGCGTTAGGTTCGTTAGTCACCGAATCTTCAGTAGGCGATTGTACATTTGCGCTTGACGGTGCTCTTGGAGCATGCGACGAACCCGGCGTTGATGTTCGGCTTAAATATAACAAATCCGATCGCAGTTTTTCGAGTAACGATGACTGTGACTTCACTGACCGACTAGAATTCTCGTCAGCTATAGGACTATCTACAATTTTTGTTGGTGTCGCTTCCTCATTAAGGTTGTCATTCTTCTCAACAGCCTTGTTCTCGTTTCCATTATTTTGGTAGTAGGATTTGAGACTCCTCACCATTGATGGGAATGTATAAACATACGAATACTTTGACTGTTGGACTGGCAGGTCTTTAACGTGTTTAGTCGATACGTCTCGAATGAAAATTCGAAGTATTCTATCTGGATGTTCACGAGCGATTCTAGTATATCTATTATAATGAAATTAAACAAGTATAGTTAATGGGTACTGTAAATAATTTACGAATTGACTAATGTACAAGTCTTACATCTCTGGGTCCAATTCTCCAGAATCTCCAATTAAGATAAATTTTCGTCGGGGGAAGTTTTTGAGTAACTCTCTAATATACATGAATTTGCTAGCCATCGGATTTTCTTTTTGTTCTCGAGCACTTTTTATAAGACCATCATAAAACTTAAGGTGAGCTGATCCCGGAGGAAAGTTGTGCTCTTTGAAAAAATGACGCAGCATTGGGAACAGTTGCCAGGGCGAATTGGAGACGTAGTGAATTGCAACGCCTTTCTCGTACTATGCATCCGAATATGTAGTAAAGTAAATAAAAATACATAATAAAGATGAGAAACATGGCATCGTTTGTAACCGCAGTTATCGCTATATAGTGAGGTTAGCAATAGTGAATGTTGATAGCGATGGGACATCCTATTTCTGGCAGTAACTGTTCAAGCAGACATAAAAGTAACTAACGATAGCCGAGGCATTCAATTACTCACCCAGCTACGGTACACATCGGCCATGCCGTCAACCTATTAACAAAATTGTATTTAATAGCAACATTTAATATAATCAACAGGCTTATCTAATTATTGAAACTCACGGCTTTAGTGGGTTGCAAGAACGTGTTTGTGAGGACTCTCCCCACACCATCCATGACGTCGGTTTCTTTAATTGTGTCATCTATATCCTAAATATCAGAATAAAGAATGTTAATGACAGATTATAACTAGAGTTCCACTGGCTATTATAAATTCCCATTATAAGGTAGTTTACTTACAGAAATCACTGATATCCCATCCGACCCAATCAGGTTGACTACACCGTGTGCAGGTTGAGCTTATAGAGACAAGTTGATTAGTAGTCTTTCCAATTTCACCCTTTCCATAATATTACCGATTACACTTACAAATTTTAGCATCATAAGCTTGAATTTTGATCAATCGCACCTTTGGTTTCTTGTTGGAATATGACGTAAACAAGGATTGTTTACTTTCTTCCTCTTGAAGCCATTTCTTGATAGTAGATTGAGGAATAGCAATGGTACCCGTGAATTGGCCACCTTTACAAGATATCTTTGTACTCTTTATTTCATTGACGGGATGTTTTAATAGATTAATTTTTCCTGTGTTCTCTATTATTTTCCCAGCATTCCCAAATATCTTTCCAGGGTTTCCTATTATATCTCCGATATCAAAATCACCGTCACCGTTTTCATCTTCAACAGGATCATTTGGATCACCCTCGATAGCCATTTTATTTGATTCAGTAATTCCGATAGTCTGAACAGTAAACTCTCCTTCGGTCATGTTGCTGGCCCAAAAAAGGGAAATGCGTGATTGTAACATTTCGTACGTTGCATCGTCCTTCTTCAGACCCTTTACTTTCGATGTTAAGTCTAAAATGTAACATGAAGCAAATAAATGAGACGGCATGGAGACTGTTGCTCGCGATTTTCAAAAAATTACTTACTTAAAAATAGACTAAGAGATCTGCTATTTTTTGGAGATGAAAACGCCCAACCACGAACGCATATATTCCAATCATCAGATAAACTACCTGTCAATAACAATTGAATCTTCAGTTATCTCGATGTAGCAGCTTCAAATGTGGCACCTCAATTCGCCGTTGTTCTTATCATTACCATCGTCCGCGTGTTTAGTAGCATACGTGGGAAACAGTATACAATGCTGTTCATACTTCTCCGGGGTTTCCAACCCGAGCTGCGAGTCTTCTACCGTCGCTTGTTGACTTTGCATGTTTCGAACGCTTGTGTCGTAAAATAATTTATCCCGATCACGGATTTATATATGGTAAATGATAATCAAATATCTGGTGTAATAGTTTCACAAAGTTCCCCAGAATTTATCATCCGCTCTTGGCACGTACGATGATATCATCCGTTCATTGTCTTCATGTACACCGGTTTTACTTTAGATTATAAGAACTCAACGTTCCACCAACTATTTATTGTTCTATCGTACTGTAAGTTGAATGAGAAGATCCACAGATTGATTTATTGGGAGTACCCGATTGGTACATGATACCCATCTACCCACCCGCTTCATCCCCAACCAACACAACTCTGACTACATACAGCACTCATCATGAATTAGAACACAAAGGGAATTATACTGTACTGATGCAGAGTTTACGTCGCTTCCACCAAAGGGCTTATAGTTCAGTTGATAGAATATCTGTTTTGCGAACTCTGGAGCAGACCATATTTCTTGACTTTGGGTTATATTAATATTATACATTACTTCAGCAAACTAATACTAAATGACTCTATATACAAAACCAAAATGGCATCAAGAGCAATTGCTTTTTTAAACACTATGTGAGATCTACATACAGTTTAATTCGTCCCCGGTCGTAATTATCAACTGTATAAATTAAGTATTGTAAAAGACAACCCTTTGATCATTCCCATATATGTAAATAATTTAATGATTCGGATAAATTCAGCCGTTGGATCATCACAAAACGATACTGCTAAAAAACATTTAACTGCCGCGAAAATATGTCAACGTCAAAGATAATCCTATCGTAAGACTATTTAGTTAAGTTTCATGTTATAATAGATTACAGTAGAAACAGTCTTCTTTAGATAAAAGTTTTTGGTTTTTTTGTCGCATATAAATCGATAATTCGGCTTTATTTCCACATATTAATGTACTGTTCAGCTGAAGCTAGATAAATCGATAATACGTTAATTCGACGATAGTTTGGTGTCCAACCAAATCGGGGTGACGATAAATAGTCTAATCGACATTTACGGTAGCACCGAAAAGACGTGTAAAAAGTAAGGCTTTCAATTGGTACTAAAACACATTTATTGTGATACAGTAGCACTGAGCTCACCATGTTCGAAGAAAAGCTCCGAATTCTTAACATCTATGCGATGAACTTGACCGTGTAAACGTTCTGAACGTTCCAAAACTCTTAAATAATTAGATATTTCTTAAAATAATCGGAGAAATTTACTTAGAAGAATAGAGACATGCATTGCTCGCGAACTAGATATTAAAAAATAAATATTAAAACATCAACTTCCCTCAGTGTATGTAATTAACCTCGGAATCATCAGATCAGTTTATTGGATAGTTCAAACAATACAATTCTGATCATCTTTCAATAAATTACAGAGCAGTCCTATATTAATATATTCAAATAAAGGTTTAAACACACGTACGTGTTTTGTTCTACTCTTCCCGATAGAGATGGAATCGTTGATCCAAGTATCGATACTTGTTCATCATTACGATTACTGTTCGCTTATGGTTTGAATTAAACCCATCGAAAGGGAATAGAGGATTACCTCAAGGACGGACAACCATCTGGGATTAGTGTCTATGCATCGACACTGAGGTCGTCAGTCTAGTTAACGGTCACTAACTGTTTCTTGACTGGTAAAAAATTCAGAATAAAGCCAGAATATGAAATGATTGGGGAAGGTAGTCTTGAACGGGTTGGTTATGTGACAAGGTATAAAGCGTTGCTTTGCATTTTCTAGGACAGGCCGCTCCGCCAAATTATGAATACGCAATCATTGAAATTTACGAGATTAGCAGTTCTGAATATCCAAATTTGTCCGACTACACTGTCGAAATAATGTAAAGTTACCAGTCTTCGAGCAATAATCCATGACCACATGACTATGACGCTTCATTGGAGGTGCGACTAATCTTGGCTATTCGTAAGATGCATCTATATAATCTACGCAAACAATATTACAGCAGAGTATTATCAACAAGCGGAAATAGCTAAATGATTAGGAATTTCCCCAGGGTAAATTCGAGCTAAAGCTATGTGCCTTTTTGATCGATCATCTGGTCGCATAAGTTGACAGTTAGACGCGATCCTTTTCTTAGTATGACATATGAATACTTCGAATTCTCAAAATTGAGCATAGCATTCTTGATCTTCATCTATACAAAACCATCATATAAACGCCGATGAATTATATGACAGAACATACCATCTTGAATAACTTACCAGAAAAGTTGGTATATCTTTTGAGAGAAATGACACCAGTTTCTTGTGTTCAATAAGGGATATATACCATCATAAGGACACTAGGAAATTAGGATTTACCAATCGGTTATCTCCTGACGCGCAGAAAAAACCGAATAAAGGGACACCATTACCGGTGCAACAACATGCGCGATATGTTTGATTCGGTTTTCTTATTCTCCATTTGTAAAATTTTTTGTCTTGCGTAAGCTGTTCACAATTGTTTATTTTCGCAATCATTATCGACATAATTTATTTAATACTTGTTATCCAAATTAGAGTCTAAATCATAATGGCAATCTGGGATATCAATTGATCTGGCAGATATGTAATAAATCTCTGTTATTGTTTTTCATTGTATAGTTGCAAAAAAACGCAAAATGTATGCGGACAGGTATGAACTCTACTCACAAAGTGAGAATATAATATTATTTATCTTAACCTATCGTAACAGTAAATGCATTAAAAAATGAGTACCCTAACCATATATATAGAAAATAGATTTATATAGCGGGCTAATGTTCTACCAATCCACTGGGTATCACTCTAACCCTCGGAAATTAAGGAGAATTTCATAAGGGAAGGATTTTTAATTTCCATTTAAAAAAGTACATAACTAACTTATAAACCAGAACAAATGGTAAAAATATGCCCCACCACCGAAAAATATTCCAAGAGTTGGTTACAATAATTTCACATCCGAACTGTGTGCGATTTGTTGCGTCTTACGAATAATAAAGTACATAGAAAGATATTTAAATGGGTTCTTAATGTTGTAGATGTCTCAGGTAGATTCAAATATTCTATACCTCTGACGTCAAAAAATAGGTTAGAGGTAGCCAAAGTGTTTAAGAAAATTTACGACAGCCCAAATATTCCTCTTACCTGGCCTAATTTATTACAACGTGACGGCGGTAGAGAATTTATGGTTTAACTTCCAAGTTAATGCAAGAACAGTACAAATCATTGGTACATACAGTCATCGAGGATTAGCGATAGCAGAACAATTTAATAAGACACTTGCAAAAATTTTATATAAAATCCAATATGCAGTTGAATCTCTATCTTCGAATCCTAAATTAATAAGAGCATGGGTTAGGCATTTACCGAAAGTCCTTAATTGTTTAAATAATTATTCAACGCGTCTAATTAGAGTTCCGGGATCATCGCGGTGGGGTTTAGCTCCAGCAATAGCAACCGGAGTAGAAAGAGTTACATCTAGACCATCCACAAAATATACAGTGGTGTGCAAAAAAAATGACAAATATATCTTATAATTCATATGTTTGTAACTTACTCAATTTTGATTCTAATTAC